ACAAGAGTGTCTGGCTGTGGTGTGGGCTCTTGAGAAGTGGAGATACTATCTGGAAGGGAGGCACTTCACGGTTGTTACGGATCATTCTTCCCTTGTTTGGGTCTTTAAGACCACCAAACCCAGCACCAGACTGATACGGTGGGCTCTTCGTCTACAAGAGTTCTCCTTCACGGTGGAATACCATAAAGGCAGATATAATACCGTACCAGATGCTCTATCAAGAGCTCCAGTGGACCTCAATCAAATACCTACGTGTGCGGCTGTGTTGGGCTCACTGAGGGACTCCTCACCGGAATTACATATAACAGACGAGGATATCTGGAAAGCACAACAGATGGATCCAGATATTCAAAGCCTGTATGAAAAAATCGTTGAAACAGGAGAAATCACTGAAGGTCCAACCACCAGGTTCACCATCATAGAGGATAAAGTGTACAGAGTGACCCAACTACCGCATAAAACTATACATCAAATCTACGTCCCCTCACCTCTTCGTCAACAGCTGCTCCATCACTCCCATGACAATCCCTTATCTGGCCACCTTGGACGATGTAAAACTTACAAGAGGTTACAGTCCCTTGTGTATTGGCCCAGGATGAGCTTGGACGTAAGAAACTACGTTCGCAGTTGTAAGATCTGCCAGCTTTATAAACCAGAGAACCGGAAACCCCGCTGAAAACTTCAACAGACTTTGGTCAGTGGCCCTTGGGAGATGTTGGGGGTGGACCTCATGGGGCCTTTTCCCCGGAGCACCTATGGAAATGTATACCTGACAGTCTTTGTCGACTACTATACTCGCTGGATAGAGTTATTCCCACTCCGTAAGGCCACAGCTCAGACTGTATCCCAAATCCTGGTAAAGGAAATTCTCACCCGTTGGGGTTCACCCACCTACATCCTTTCGGACCAAGGCCCACAGTTTGTTTCATCTGTCTTCGAGGAAACGTGCAAACGGTGGAATCTCCAGCAGAAGAGAACTTCACCATATCATCCCCAAACAAACTTAACAGAAAGAATAAACCGAAATTTAAAAGCCATGATCACATCCTACGTAGAGGAAAAACACAAAACCTGGGATACGTACTTATCAGAGTTCCGTTTTGCCCTCAACTCAGCAGTGCATGAGTCCTCAGGAGTAACCTAGGGCTGTCGCGGTTGAGGAATTCCTCCTGCGGTGATTCAGGGTGGCTTAATATTGCGGTGTGTGATATTATTGCAGCCCTTTTTTATTGCAGTACTATCTAAACATAATGTTTACACATTTAAAAAAGGTTAAAAATTGCCGTGCCTTCTTTTATAACACTTTACTGAATGCAGATCAAAGGGCAGTAACAACACAAAACGCAGTAACGCTTGTTTCTCCGACAGTCGGAGTCCGACTGAACTTAAAAACAACTAAATTCAGGAGAAGGTTAAACTTTTAAATGCAAATTTGGCTGCAGCATCTAACAAATAAGAAACAAGTCCCCATTTTGTTTAGTTGTTTAAAATCAAGCATAAAAAATTACATGTACCGGGCACACTATCATTTCACTTTCACACACACGAATGACGGTGATTTATAGCTCGGTCACGTCCTTGTTACCCACAAGGGAAACCAGCATGTTAACTACGGTTTGAGAGAGGATCTGAGAGGGGGGGCAACATTTCCAGCAACACTGAAAACCCTCTCAGATGGAGCGCTCGTTGCACTAACGCACACGTACCTGCGTGCGACTCTGGCGAGCAAAGGGAATATCTCCCGGTTGTTGCTCCACCGTGTCAGGGGGTTTTCTTTAGGGTGGATGCATTCCTCCTGCAGGTAGCGAGTGAGCTCCAGCTCGGCTCAAACTCTCTTCGGGACGGCTGCAGAAGCAGTGCTTGTCCGGGACTTCAGCAGGTCTCCGAGCATTTATTTATTTATTTTTGCCGCTGGTGGCAGCTCTGTCTCGGCCAAGGACTCTGGCTGCGCAGCAGCTGACGTACTGAAAACCAAAGTGCTCCCAAAGGAGCGAAGTAACGTTTCGTTTTGATACCAGTGCAGCCATCCTTCTCAACATGCATCATTGAGTTGAACCAAGTTCAGTAATCGCGGTGGCCCATGATGCAGCGCGGTGGGCTTCTTCATATCGCGATATTTCATTTTTGCGGTTACCGCGACAGCCCTAGAGTAACCCCTGCTGAGCTCAACCTAGGGCGCTCTTTAAAGGGACCCCTGGATAATGAGCTCCAACCCCATTTCAATGATCCTGACTCGCCTGCGTATCCCACGGCCAGGCAACTGACAAAACTCAAACACCTGGTTTCTCAACACATGGAGAAGGCTCGCCAAAAACAAAAGAAATATTATGACAAAGGAAGAAGAGAACCAGAGTTCAGGTCACAAGATCGAGTCTGGCTCCGCACTCATCCCAGTTCGAGAGCTGATCTGGCTTATTCTGCCAAGTTAGGCCCCCGTTGGAAAGGTCCCTACCGTATCACCCAGAAGTTAGGGCCTTTGAATTATGAAGTTGTCATGGAAGACACCGGAGAGGACCTACGGGTAGTACATGCAACCCAGTTAAAACCTTGCTATCCTCTTGCAGAGGAAGTCGACCAGGCACAGTGAATAAATCTCTTTCGGATATTTGAAGAGGATAGCAGTGACGAAGACTTCTCAGGGTTTATGTAAAACTAAAACCTATATGATTGACGCCTACAAAGGGTTTGGCTTATTGCAGGGGAGGGGGTGTGTAACAGCCCAAGTCTGTCACCTGGTGCCTATCGGCTTTGGTTGAACTTGTTAAATTACTTATATGTGTGAAATACAGTTTGGAGGTTATTGTCTTTATTTTTGTTGCTGATTTCTGTGACCTAAGAGAAAGGCAGCAATATTGTTTTATTGATCGTTTTGTCTGCCTGACTTCTATAAGAGGTGAGTTAGGAGACACGCCCCGCCCCCCGAGAGTGGTACTCCCTCACCTGTCTGGAGGACGCTGGAGGCAGGAGGAGGTGAGTTTGATCGGACGCTGCCAAGCGGTGTTATGGACTAAGGATTATCGCACCAATGACTAGGGAGAGTCTAGCGGACCTATGTGACTTATCTGATGTGCTGGAGGAGTAAGCTGGGAGCGTGTGTTCTGGTGAACCACCAAAGCAGCGGCCTGTCGGATCCTCAGCGGTACCGTGAGTAAACAGCTGATCGACACAGCGGTTGCTGCAGCTGCTGTATACTGAATCTACAACGATAATCTTAGTTCCTTTTTTTTTGCTGAGTGTATTATGGACGCACATTTTTCTTTTCTGAACTGAACTGAATTTATCTGAACTGAACTGAATTTATCTGAACTGAACTGAATTTATCTGAACAGAACTGAATTTATCTGAACGGAACTGAATTTATCTGAACTGAACTGAACTTATCTGAACAGAACTGAATTTATCTGAACGGAACTGAACTTATCTGAACTGAACTGAATTTATCTGAACGGAACTGAACTTATCTGAACTGAACTGAATTTATCTGAACGGAACTGAACTTATCTGAACTGAACTGAATTTATCTGAACGGAACTGAACTTATCTGAACAGAACTGAATTTATCTGAACAGAACTGAATTTATCTGAACTGAACTGAACTTATCTGAACTGAACTGAATTTATCTCAACTGAACTGAATTTATCTGAACAGAACTGAATTTATCTGAACGGAACTGAATTTATCTGAACTGAACTGAATTTATCTGAACAGAACTGAATTTATCTGAACGGAACTGAACTTATCTGAACTGAACTGAATTTATCTGAACGGAACTGAATTTATCTGAACTGAACTGAATTTATCTGAACTGAACTGAACTTATCTGAACTGAACTGAATTTATCTGAACGGAACTGAATTTATCTGAACTGAACTGAATTTATCTGAACGTGACTCTCGGACCTTTCCATTAATTATTATATATGTTGTTGCAAAAGATCTGATTTAATACACCCCCGCTTTTGCCTTATGCTTATGTGATTATTTGGGTTTGTTTGTTTCAGTCCAGGTTAGGGTGATAAACACTTCAAATTGTTTACATCCTATGTGTTGTGAAGTGAGTGTGAGTTACAAGGGAAAGTTGTTGATAATTGTATTTATTTCTTATGTCAGGAGAGAGACCTGGCTGGCACCCCGATCAAATCCCTTATTACACCTGCTTCCGTCACACACTATCATCCATCTGTCTGTCATCCATCTGTCTGTCATCCATTCATCCATCCATCTGTCATCCATTCATCCACCATCTACTCTCATCCATCCATCATCCATCTGTCATCCATCCATCCATCCATTTGTCATCCATCATCCTTCCATCCATCTGTCATCCATTCATCCACCATCTACTCTCATCCATCCATCATCCATCTGTCATCCATCCATCCATCCATCTGTCATCCATTCATCCATCCATCTGTCATCCATTCATCCACCATCTACTCTCATCCATCCATCATCCATCTGTCATCCATCCATCCATCCATCCATCTGTCATCCATCCATCCATCTGTCATCCATTCATCCATCCATCTGTCATCCATTCATCCACCATCTACTCTCATCCATCCATCATCCATCTGTCATCCATCCATCCATCCATCTGTCATCCATTCATCCATCCATCTGTCATCCATTCATCCACCATCTACTCTCATCCATCCATCATCCATTTGTCATCCATCCATCATCCATCTGTCATCCATCCATCCATTATCCATCTGTCATCCATCCATCCATCCATCCATTGAACCATCCATCCATCCACCATCATGTGTCATCCATTCATCCATCCATCCATCTGCCATCCATTCATCCACCATCCACTCTCATCCATCCATCCATCCATCTGTCATCCATCCATCCATCCATTGAACCATCCATCCATCCACCATCATGTGTCATCCATTCATCCATCCATCCATCCATCCATCCCCGTAACTCTAAGCTGTATTGATCTCATTTAGATGATTCAAAACCAACCAAGGGTTTAACCCCCACCTGACCTTTGACCTGGAGCTCCACTTGTTTCATCATCAGGATGGTTCCCTGGCTGCTGTAGACAGTGCAGGTGAAGGTGTTCCTGTCCTGATAGGTGGGGTGCTGCAGAGTCAGACTCAGGTCTCCAGTACTCAGCAGGTCTTCATTCATCCTGGTTCTGGTTCTGTAGAACCAGTACTGCTCAGTGAACTGGTCTAACCTGTTCCAGTACCCATGGACCAACCAGTCATCACTGTCCCTCCACTCAACTTTAGTATCTTCAGGCAGGTCAGCGCTGATTTCACAGGGCAGCAGAACCGACTCCGCCCCTGACTCCACCTCCACCTGTTGGACTGTGAGAACAGAGAACATCAGCTGAAGATGACACATACAGGTTATCCAGAGAGCTTCTCTGGCCCTCAAACCCAAACATTTACTATCCTAATAACCTCGGAGTCAGGCAGCAGGTTCTGGACCAGGTAAAGGTGGGATGCTTCCTCCAGATGACAGCAGATCTCCACCTCAAGCAGACGAGTCATGGTGGGATGAAGGAGAGACTGACCAGAGGATCAGGCCCTCATCTGCATGTTCTAGACCTACTGGTCCATCTAAACCGTCATCTGCAGTGATGACATGTGGACCAGGACCCACCTGTAGGGTGGCCAGGTTCAGCCTTAGATACCAGGAGAGCAGCTCCATCACTTTCAAACAGACTTGAGTCTGCACCGAAGGGCCTTGAGTGTCTGTTAGCGCCTGTTCTTGTCTTTGCTTTGCACTATCTTCCATTGGGAAAGAGAAGGAAACTCATCTGTGGGTTATCATGTTGTCTAGTAGCTCCGGTTTGGGCCAACTGAAAACAGTAAGTGCAATCAGTTTCTCCCCTCCCTGAAAGCACTCACCAGGTGATCTAGGTCTCAACCATTGCAATCAGCTGCTGCATGAACACCTGTTTCCAACTGGTAGCACAGCATAAGTTTGGTGGCATAACTGAAGCGTCAGCCCTTGTGTCTCACCCCTCCGGGGTAAAGACTTACGTGTCTACCTGCGCGTGTCCACAGAGCAAACAAACCCGACCCAGATGCTGCTCCATCGACACCCAGCAAAATGTGCCATTATCCTATACCTGTGATCACTGGCTTCAGAGGAAGGTCACACACAGCAAACCGCTTTCGCAACCTTCAAAACCTCCGCTCGCTAAAACCAACTCCCCCTGAAGACACCCACCTGTCTATGGGACTGTGGAACTGCCAATCGGCTGTAAACAAAGCTGACTTCATTACCACATATGCTAACCACCTGTCACTCGATGCACTGGCTCTCACTGAGACCTGGATCCAACCATGTGACAATGCTACCCCATCTGCTCTCTCAGTTAACCACACTTTCACCCACACTTCTCGTGCATCTGGCCGAGGTGGTGGAACGGGCATGTTAATTTCAAACAAATGGATACACAGTCAGTTGCTACCCATCACTAAGTACAACTCCTTTGAATACCATGCCATCCAGGTGACTGTACCGAAAAAACTCTTTTTGGTTGTCATATATCGACAACCAGGTCAACTCAGAGACTTTCTTGATGAACTCGACACCCTGCTTTCCTCCATTCCTGAGCACGACTGTCCCACATGGTCCTTGGAGACATGAATATTCATCTGGACAATCCCAGCTCATCAGGCTTCCTGTCACTAATGTCATCATTTGATCTAAAACTAGTACAAAGTCCTCCAACTCACAAAGGTGGAAAAGCGCTTGACCTCATTTTCACCAGAAACTGTGTCATAGACACAATCTCTGTCACACCGCTGCATCTTTCCGATCATTACTTCATCCGTTTCAGCACGACTCTACAAGGGAGGTCCACTGCTTCCTCCCCAATGGTCTCATTCCGCCGCTACCTCCGCAATCTGGCACCCAACCACTTCTCCTCTCTTGTTGCCTCCACTCTTCCATCTCCAAGCACGTTCTCTGCTTATGAAGTGAATGATGCCACCGAGTCACTCTGCTCCACACTCGGCTCTTGTCTTTACAACTTGTGCCATTTAGCCACTAGACCTACTAGATCCTCTCAGTCGCACCCTTGGCTAAATAATAATAATAATAATACATTTTATTTAAAAGCGCCTTTCAGGACACCCAAGGTCACTTAAATGATACCCTCCGGGCTCTACGCACCAATCTTAGAGGTGCGCAAAGGAAATGGCGCAAAACAAGAGATCCTGGTGATCTACTGAAATTTCATGAATTACTGTCCTCATTCTCTGCCAGCATCACTGATGCAAAGAAAGCTTTCTACACTGACAAAATTCTCAGCTCTACTGACTCTCAGAAACTATTTTCAACATGACATTACATTTCCCACCTCTCTCAAGCATGCTCAGGTTAAACCGCTGCTAAAAAAAACCATCTCTTCCTCCAAATCATGTGGAGAACTACCGACCTATCTCTCTCCTCCCTTTTCTGTCCAAAATCATTGAAAGGGCGGCGTTCAAGTAGATCACAGAATACCTCTCACAAAACTGTCTGCTTGACCCTTACCAATCTGGGTTCAAAAAGGGCCACTCCACTGAAACTGCTCTGCTAGCAGTGATGGAATCCTTAAAAGAAGCTAGAGCGACAGGCAAATCCTCAGTGCTTATCCGGCTCGACTTATCGGCTGCATGTGACACTGTCAACCATGGCTTCCTTTAGTCCACACTCTCTAGCATGGGCATCATAGAGAAAGCACTCGCCTGGTTTGAATCGTACCTCACAGGACGATCATTCAGTGTATCTTGGCTTGGACAATCCTCTACCGTGCACCATCTTGTCACAGGAGTCCCCCAGGGCTCTGTACTTGGACCTCTTCTCTTTGCCATATACACCACCTGACTGGGTGAGATCATTCGATCACATGGCTTCTCCTACCACTGCTATGCAGACGACACCCAGCTCTATCTGTCATTTCCAACGGACGACCACACTGTCTCTGCACGAATATCAAACTGTCTCTCTGACATATCAAAATGGATGAAATCCCACCATCTCCAACTCAACCTCTCTAAAACTGAACCACTTGTCATCCCAGCAAAACCATCCATACAGCACAATATCTCAATCCAAAATGACTTCCTATCTCTGGCTCCTTCAAAGGCAGTTCGAAATCTGGGTGTTGTGATTGATGAACACCTGACCTTTAAAGATCATGTTGCCTCTGTTGCTCGTTCATGCCGCTTTGCGCTGTATAACATACGAAAGATCAGACCATACCTAACACAACATGCCACCCAGCTCCTGGTGCAATCTACTGTCATCTCCCGCCTCGATTACTGCAACGCCCTTCTAACTGGTCTTCCAGGCTGTACTGTGAGACCTCTTCAAATGGTCCAGAACGCAGCGGCGTGTCTGGTCTTCAATCAGCCAAAAAGAGCACACGTCACCCCTCTGTTCATTGAGCTCCACTGGCCACCGCTAGCAGCACGCATCAAATTCAAATAGCTAACACTAGCATACAAAGTCCGAGATGGTACGGCTCCCATCTACCTGAATCCTCTTGCAAAGGCTTACGTCTCGGCCCGGCCGCTCCGGTCATCACAGGATCGTCGGCTAGCAGTGCCTACACCACGCTCAGGACAATCCAGACTCTTCTCATGCATCGTTCCACAAATGTGGAATGACCTACCAAGCACTACCAGAACAGGGGCTTCCTGAAGACCCTGCTCTTCAGAGAGCATCTTCTAAACTAGCACCCTCCCTGCACCCGTCCCCCCTCTCTACTGTCCACTCCTTGTTCTCTCCTCTCCAAGACTGATGTCACGTTGTTGTTAGCCTCAAGGGCAACATGCCGATAATCACTTGTAAGTGGCTTTAGACAATAGCGTCTGCTAAATACATAAACATAAACATAAGTGCTCAGAGAAGAGCTGCTGCTTCTCCTCATGAGGAGTGGGCTGTGGTGGTTCTGTTGATGGGGCCTCTTAGGCTCCTCCCTCTGGATGATGGATGGATGGACAAAGTAAGAGAGGGAGGGATGGATGATAGATCGGTACGGAGACACACGCCATTAATTGTCCTTTCGAGGACTCTCCAGCTGAATCTTAGGGACGAACGGAGTCGAGCTCTCTTTTCTAAACATCCGTCAAACAAGTTGAAGAACGCACGCTTGTGATTGGTCAGGACACCGCTGTCATCAACAGCGCCGCCATTGCGCCCTCAAAAACATAAAGAGGACATCTAGCGGCAGACACGGAGCAGCTAGAAGACCTGGAGGAAAAACTCTAAAATATGAACGTTTCATCCCCATGACTGGAGGAGTGAAAAGATACGCAGCAAGCGTTTGATTGGTGGAGGGAAATGACGGAAGCGTGGGTTTAGAGGTGGTGAGTGCATGAGGACGTGGAGGAGGACGAGGGACACATCTGTCCCTGTGAAAAGGTCTCTTCAATACAAAAACACAACATAAACACACCATCCTGGACCGGAAACATGGCACGATACCACAGAGCAGCGCTACGCCCTCTGGTGTCCTGGAGGGGAACTGCTTTACAATGCTTCCCAGGAGACGGAGACATCTGGGTTCTGGTTCTGGGACCTGGTTCTGGGTTCTGGGACCTGGTTCTGGTTCCTGGTTCTGGTTCTGAGACCTGGTTCTGGGACCTGGTTCTGGGTTCTGGGACCTAGTTCTGGGTTCTGATTCTGGGTTCTGGGACCTGGTTCTGGTTCCTGGTTCTGGTTCTGAGACCTGGTTCTGGGTCCTGGTTCTGGGTTCTGGTTCTGAGACCTGGTTGTGGGACCTGGTTCTGGGTTCTGGGACCTAGTTCTGGGTTCTGATTCTGGGTTCTGGGACCTGGTTCTGGGTCCTGGTTCTGGGTTCTGGTTCTGAGACCTGGTTCTGGGACCTGGTTCTGGGTTCTGGGACCTAGTTCTGGGTTCTGATTCTGGGTTCTGATTCTGGGTTCTGGGACCTGGTTCTGGGTCCTGGTTCTGGGTTCTGGTTCTGAGACCTGGTTCTGGGACCTGGTTCTGGGTTCTGGGACCTAGTTCTGGGTTCTGATTCTGGGTTCTGGGACCTGGTTCTGGTTCCTGGTTCTGGTTCTGAGACCTGGTTCTGGGTCCTGGTTCTGGGTTCTGGTTCTGAGACCTGGTTGTGGGACCTGGTTCTGGGTTCTGGGACCTAGTTCTGGGTTCTGATTCTGGGTTCTGGGACCTGGTTCTGGGTCCTGGTTCTGGGTTCTGGTTCTGAGACCTGGTTCTGGGACCTGGTTCTGGGTTCTGGGACCTAGTTCTGGGTTCTGATTCTGGGTTCTGATTCTGGGTTCTGGGACCTGGTTCTGGGTCCTGGTTCTGGGTTCTGGTTCTGAGACCTGGTTCTGGGACCTGGTTCTGGGTTCTGGGACCTAGTTCTGGGTTCTGATTCTGGGTTCTGGGACCTGGTTCTGGTTCCTGGTTCTGGTTCTGAGACCTGGTTCTGGGTCCTGGTTCTGGGTTCTGGTTCTGAGACCTGGTTCTGGGACCTGGTTCTGGGTTCTGGGACCTAGTTCTGGGTTCCGATTCTGGGTTCTGGGACCTGGTTCTGGGTCCTGGTTCTGGGTTCTGGTTCTGAGACCTGGTTCTGGGTTCTGGATTCTGGTTCTGGGACCTAGTTCTGGGTTCTGGTTCTGGGTTCTGGGACCTGGTTCTGGGTCCTGGTTCTGGGTTCTGGTTCTGGGACCTGGTTCTGGGACCTGGTTCTGGGACCTTGTTCTGGACCTGGTTCTGGGTTCTGGTTCTGGGTTCTGGTTGTGGGACCTTGTTCTGGTACCTGGTTCTGGGTTCTTGGTTCTGGGTTCTGGGTTCTTGGTTCTGGGACATGGTTCTGGTTCTGGTTCTGGGTTCTGGGACCTGGTTCTAGGTTCTTGGTTCTGGGTTCTTGGTTCTGGGTTCTGGGTTCTTGGTTCTGGGACCTGGTTCTGGGTTCTGGGACCTGGTTCTGGTTCCTGGTTCTGGTTCTGAGACCTGGTTCTGGGACCTGGTTCTGGGTTCTGGGACCTAGTTCTGGGTTCTGATTCTGGGTACTGGGACCTGGTTCTGGTTCCTGGTTCTGGTTCTGAGACCTGGTTCTGGGTCCTGGTTCTGGGTTCTGGTTCTGAGACCTGGTTCTGGGACCTGGTTCTGGGTTCTGGGACCTAGTTCTGGGTTCTGATTCTGGGTTCTGATTCTGGGTTCTGGGACCTGGTTCTGGGTCCTGGTTCTGGGTTCTGGTTCTGAGACCTGGTTCTGGGTTCTGGATTCTGGTTCTGGGACCTAGTTCTGGGTTCTGGTTCTGGGTTCTGGGACCTGGTTCTGGGTCCTGGTTCTGGGTTCTGGTTCTGGGACCTGGTTCTGAGACCTGGTTCTGGGTTCTGGTTCTGGGTTCTGGTTCTGGGACCTGGTTCTGGGACCTGGTTCTGGGACCTTGTTCTGGACCTGGTTCTGGGTTCTGGTTGTGGGACCTTGTTCTGGTACCTGGTTCTGGGTTCTGGGTTCTTGGTTCTGGGACATGGTTCTGGTTCTGGTTCTGGGTTCTGGGACCTGGTTCTAGGTTCTTGGTTCTGGGTTCTGGTTCTGGGTTCTTGGTTCTGGGACCTGGTTCTGGGTTCTGGTTCTGGGTTCTGGGACCTGGTTCTAGGTTCTCGGACCTGGTTCTGGGTCCTGGTTCTGGGTTCGAGATTCTGTTTCTGGTTCTGGGACCTGGTTCTGGGTTCTGGTTCTCGGTTCTGTTTCTGGGACCTTGTTCTGGTACCTGGTTCTGGGTCCTGGTTCTTGGATCTTGGTTCTGGGACCTGGTTCTGGGTTCTGGGACCTAGTTCTGGTTCTGGGTTCTGGGACCTGGTTCTGGGTTCTGGTTCTGAGACCTGGTTCTGTGTTCTGGTTCTGGGACCTAGTTCTGGGTTCTGGTTCTGGGACCTAGTTCTGGTTCTGGGTTCTGGTTCTGGGACCTTGTTCTGGGACCTGGTTCTGGGTTCTGGTTCTCGGTTCTGGTTCTGGGACCTTGTTCTGGGACCTGGTTCTGGGTTCTGGTTCTGGGTTCTGGGACCTGGTTCTGGGTTCGGGATTCTGGTTCTGGTTCTGGGTTCTGGTTCTGGGACCAGGTTCTGGGTTCTGGTTCTGGGACCTTGTTCTGGTACCTGGTTCTGGGACCTTGTTCTGGGTCCTGGTTCTGGGACCTGGTTCTGGGTTCGGGTTCTGGGATCTGGTTCTGGGTTCTGGTTCTGGGTTTTGGTTCTGGGTTCTTGGTTCTTGGTTCTGGGACCTGGTTCTGGGTTCTGGTTCTGGGTTCTTGGTTCTGGGACCTGGTTCTGGGTTCTCGGTTCTGGGACCTGGTTCTGGGTTCTGGTTCTGGGTTCTGGGACCATGTTCTGGGTTCTTGGTTCTGGATTCTGGTTCTGGTACCTGGTTCTGGGACCTTGTTCTGGTACCTGGTTCTGGGACCTGGTTCTGGGTTCGGGTTCTGGGACCTGGTTCTGGGTTCTGGTTCTGGGTTTTGGTTCTGGGTTCTTGGTTCTTGGTTCTGGGACCTGGTTCTGGGTTCTTGGTTCTGGGACCTGGTTCTGGGTTCTGGTTCTGGGTTCTTGGTTCTGGGACCTGGTTCTGGGTTCTCGGTTCTGGGACCTGGTTCTGGGTTCTGGATCTGGGTTCTGGGACCATGTTCTGGGTTCTTGGTTCTGGATTCTGGTTCTGGGAACTGGTTCTGGGACCTTGTTCTGGGACCGGGTCCTGAATGGTTATGAATGGTTATGAACTGGTTCTGGGTTAATGTTCTGGGACCTGGTTCTGGGTTCTGGTTCTGGGTTTTGTTTCTGGGTTCTTGGTTCTTGGTTCTGGGACCTGGTTCTGGGTTCTTGGTTCTGGGACCTGGTTCTGGGTTCTGGTTCTGGGTTCTTGGTTCTGGGACCTGGTTCTGGGTTCTCGGTTCTGGGACCTGGTTCTGGGTTCTGGTTCTGGGTTCTGGGACCTGGTTCTGGGTTCTTGGTTCTGGATTCTGGTTCTGGGAACTGGTTCTGGGACCTTGTTCTGGGTTCTCGGTTCTGGGACCTGGTTCTGGGTTCTGGTTCTGGGTTCTGGGACCTTGTTCTGGGTTCTCGGTTCTGGGAACTGGTTCTGGGACCTTGTTCTGGGACCTGGTGCTGAATGGTTATGAATGGTTATGAAGTTAGTTGGTCCCAGAACCAGAACCCAGAACCGTGGCATGACTCAGTGGAGCCAGATGATTGGCTGTGGAGAGGCACATGCCCAAAGAGAGAAGACATTCTCTGATAGCTTATGAAAGCTTTAAGACGCCTTAAACATCTTAACATCACCCAGACCTACTCCAGGTCAAAGGTCAGGACTGTGGGCGTGACCTGGTGGCTCATGGCTCAGTCACCATGAAGAAGCTCTCAGATTCACACGGGTGTGGAGAACCGCAGGGCTCATGGACCTCCTCTGGACCTCCTACACCAACCAAAGGTAGATCTCTCAGACTGACCTTTGACCTGGAGCCTCACTTTTCTCCTCATCAAGATCTTTTTCCTCCTGGTGGAGACGGTGCAGGTGTAGGTGTCTGTGTCAGCACGTGTGGGGTGGTCCAGGGTCAGACTGAAGTCTCCGCTTCTCAGCAGCTCCTCGTTCATCGTGGTTCTGTTCTTGTAGAATGGCAACTGTTCTTCAGCTCCATCTGAGCCGGTCCTCAGCACATGGACCTTGTAGTGGTTGTGGTCCCTCCACACCACCTTAGCACCTTCAGGCAGATGGACGGTGCTTCTGCAGGGCAGCAGCACAGACTCCGCCCCTGACTCCACCTCCACATCAGTTCTGTATCCTGAGGAGACGGAGAATGATCTGATGAAACTTCTGCTGATCTTCATAACCAAACACACACACACACACACACACACACACACACACACATTTACATACACACACGTGCACACACACATTTACACACACACATACATACACACACACATACACACACACACACACACACACACACACACACACACGCACACACACACACACACACACACACATGCACACACGCACACACGCGCACACACACACGCAGATGCACACACACACGCACACACACACATGCGAACGCACGCACACACGCATATACACACACACACACACATAGACAGACATACACACACACACACACACATAGACAGACATACACACACACACACACACAAATACACGCACGCACACACACACACACACGAACGCACGCACACACTCATATACACACACGCACACACACACACACACACACACACACACACACACACAAATACACACACACACACACACACACACATAGACAGACATAAACACACACAAATACACACACACACACACACACACACACGCACACACATACACACACATACCTGGGTTCTCAGATTAATGACTGATTGCTGATTGGCTGCACCTGGCGGTAAGGCGTGTCCTGTTTCCTGTTTTCAGTGTTGCACTCCGTGTAGCTGTTTGGTGTTTGGGGCTCGCTAAAGCTGATTTAATTTCTCTGTACTTGGATATCTCTGAGTTATTGTAGCACAAAAGCACGCTAAAACACATTTTCTGTTGTTCCACCTAGCTTTTAGGGAACCATTTGAGTTTGCACGCAGTTTATTTGGTACTGAACAGTTTGCTTGTCCAGTTAGCTTAGCCTCAGCACGGCTATGGCTACTTCTGTCTCTGCTTCTCCGTCTCCTATCTCTTGCTCTCTGTGTCAGATGTTTAGTTCTCCTCTGCCTCCTTTAGTGATAATGGTACGTGTAATAAATGTAGCAATTTTGTAGCTTTGGAGGCGAGGGTGTCGGAATTGGAGTCCCGGCTCCGCGCTGTTGAAAAACCCGTAAACAGCCATAGCTACTTAGCTAGCACGGGGCTAACTAGCTCAGAACCACCCCGTAGCGGTCCTCCAGCAGAACCCGAGCAGCCGGGACCTCAGGCCGGCTGGGTGACGGTACGCAGGAAGCATAGAACCCAGCCCGTGGGCCACCACCAACCCGTCCACGTTTCTAATAGATTTTCCCCGCTCAGTGACGCACCCACTGACAAGCCGACTCTGATCATTGGCAGCTCCATAGTCAGAAACGTGGCATTAGAGGCTCCAGCAACCATAGTTAAATGTTTACCTGGGGCCAGAGCGGGAGACATTAAATCTTATCTGAAACTGCTGGCTAAGGATAAGCGTAAATACAGTAAGATTGTTATTCACGCTGGCGGTAACGACACCCGGTTACGCCAATCGGAGGTCACTAAAATTAATGTTGCTTCGGTGTGCAAGTTTGCCAAAACAATGTCGGACTCCGTAATTTTCTCTGGCCCCCTGCCTGATCGGACCAGTGACGACATGTTTAGCCGCATGCTGTCCTTCAACCGCTGGTTGTCTAGGTGGTGTCCTGAAAACAACGTGGGCTACATTGATAATTGGAAAACTTTTTGGGGAAAACCTGGTCTGATGCGGAGAGACGGCATCCATCCCTCTTTGGATGGTGCAGCTCTTCTTTCTAGGAATATGGCCAGTTTTATTAGTCCTCCATGACAACCCAGGGTCCAGACCAGGAAGCAGAGTCGTAGTTTAACCCACCCCTCTGCAGCTTCTGTACTGTTACCCACCCACTACCCCATAGAGACAGTGTCCTGCCCACGGCCAAAACCACACAGATTAAATATCAGGCTTAATAAAGCAAATCATGGAAATCTCATAAATATTAGAACAACTTCAACTGAGCAGAAAACTAGAAAAATTAAATGTGGGTTATTGAACATTGGATCCATTTTTTCTAAGACTTTGTTAGTTAATGACTTGATTTGTGATAATCAGATCTCTTTGCTCTCTCTCACAGAATCCTGGCTACAGCAAGAGGACTATGTTAGCTTAAACGAGTCGACTCCTTCTAATGATTTAAATCATCATATTGCTCGAAGTACAGGGCGAGGAGGAGGAGTAGCAACCATTTTTCATTCGGACTTATTAATCAGTCCCTTACAGATTAATAGTTACAGTTCGTTTGAACATCTTATTCTTAGTTTTCCTAATCCAGATTGCAAAACTGTAAAACCACTCTTGTTTGTAGTTTTATATCGTCCACCAGGCCCTTACTCTGAGTTTTTAGATCAGATCTCTGATTTTTTATCTGATTTGGTGCTAAATACTGATAAGGTCATTGTAGTGGGGGATTTCAACATTCATGTGGACATCGAAAATGATTGCCTCAATGTAGCCTTTAGTAATATCTTAGACTCAATTGGTGTTACTCAAAGAATACATAGCTCCACCCACTCCTGCCATCATACATTGGACCTTGTTCTGACTTATGGCATTGAGTGTGAGGAAATAACAATCTTTCCACATAATCCAGTCCTCTCTGACCACTTTCTGATAACCTTTGAGTTTTTTATAACTGAGTTCTCGAGACATGAAAGTAAATTTCACTACAGTCGGTCTCTATCTGACAACGCAGTTGCGTCTTTTAAAGCAACTGTTCCATCTTTACTGTCCTCAGCATCTCAGAGGAACGTAGCAGAGGGCAATATTTTCAGTTCTAGCCCCTCACAAATTGATGCCTTAGTTCATCATGTGAATTCCTCTTTACGTGTGGCATTAGATGATGTTGCCCCTTTAAAAAAGAAGGTAATTAGGGACAGGAAGTTGGCTCCCTGGTTTAACTCTCATCTACGAGCCTTAAAACAAAACTCTAGGTAATTGGAGAGAACATGGCGCTCTACGCACCATGAGGAGGCCTACCTGTCCTGGAAAAATAGTCGTGTGCTTTATAAAAATAAGCTTCAACAAACTAGAACTGCTTATTTTTCAGCACTAATTGAGGAGAATAAGCATAATCCTAAATTTCTTTTCAGTACAGTTGCTAAACTTACACAGAATCATAGCTCTGAGCCATCTATTCCCTTAGCCCTCAGCAGCAATGACTTCATGGGATTTTTTACAAGTAAAATTAATTCTATTAGAAACAAAATCTTTAGCTTCCTCCCTAATGCGATTTCTTCTTCCTCAGTAAGTGAGGCAGCATCAGAGGTGACTGTAGAACCTCATCTGTGCTTGAACCGTTTTGATCCAGTTGAGCTTTCAGAGTTATCAAAAATATTAGCTTCATCTAAACCTTCAACTTGCATTTTGGATCCAATCCCAACCAAATTATTTAAAGATGCATTTCCTTTGGTTAGTGTCCCCATTCTAGATATAATCAATCTATCCTTAGTAAATGGGTATGAACCACAAGATTTTAAGGTTGCTGTAATCAAACCTTCACTTAAGAAGCCTTCTCTGGATCCAGATGACCCAATGACTTATAGACCAATATCTAACCTTCCATTTTTATCCAAAGTCCTGGAGAAAATAGTGGCCATCCAAGTATGTGAGCATTTAAACACTAATGCTCTGTTTGAGGAATCTCAGTCTGGTTTTAGAGAGTATCACAGCACTGAAACTGCATTAGTGAGAGTTACAAATGATATTCTCATGGCCTCAGATAAGAATCTTGTGTCTGTTCTAGTCTTGTTAGATCTCAGTGCTGCTTTTGACACAGTTGATCACAAAGTTCTTTTAGAAAGACTTGAACATGTTGTAGGGATCAAAAGAACAGCATTAGGCTGGTTTAAATCCTACCTGTCTGACAGATTTCATTTTGTAAATGTACATGACAAATCGTCTTCATACTCCAGGGTTACTTGTGGAGTACCACAGGGTTCAGTGCTTGGACCAATTCTTTTTACTATATATATGCTCCCAATTGGTAAAATCATTAGACAGCATGGGATAAACTTCCACTGTTATGCTGACAATACTCAGTTATATTTATCCATTAACCCTGATGAACCTAATCGGTTGGGTAGATTACAGGCTTGTCTTGAGGACATAAAACATTGGATGACTCTTAACTTCTTGCTTTTAAATCGAGACAAGACGGAAGTTCTCATCTTTGGACCAGAAATCCAGAAAAGGAAATTGCTTAGCCAATCGCCTGACCTGAATGACATTACATTAATCTCCGAGAACAAAGCAAGGAACCTTGGTGTTATCTTTGACCAGGACATGTCATTCAAATCCCAGGTTTCACAAGTTTGTCGGATTTCCTTTTTCCACCTTCGGAATATTGCTAAGATTAGAAGCATCCTTTCCAGGAGTGATGCTGAAAAACTAGTTCATGCATTTATTACATCAAGACTGGATTACTGTAATTCATTACTCTCAGGAAGTCCACAGAATGTAGTTAAAAGTCTTCAGCTTGTCCAAAATGCTGCAGCTAGAGTTCTGATGAGAATTAAAAAGAGAGATCATATCTCTCCTGTCTTAGCTTCCCTACATTGGCTACCTGTTAAATTCAGAATAGATTTTAAGATCCTTCTTCTCACATATAAAGCTCTTAATAATCAAGCTCCATCATACATCAGTGATCTGATTGTTCCATACGTTCCTAACCGAGCACTTCGCTCTCAGACTGCAGGTCTACAGGTGGTTCCCAGAATATCTAAAATTAGGATGGGAGGCAGATCTTTTAGTTATCGGGCTCCTCTCCTGTGGAACCAGCTCCCAGCTTTAGTCCGTGAGGCAGACACTTTGTCTACTTTTAAGAATAGGCTTAAAACATTTTTATTTGATAGGGCCTATGGTTAAAATCTGATGTTAGCCTAAATCTGGACAAGTGGGGCAGTAGAGGGAGGTGGAGTGTACAGTCGGTAAAGACTGTGTGCGTGCGTGTGTGTGTATGTGTGTGTGTGTGTGTGTGTGTGTGTGTGTGTGTGTGTGTGTGTGTGTGTGTGTGTGTGTGTGTGTGTGTGTGTGTGTGTGTGTGTGTGTGTGTGTGTGTGTGTGAGTCGTGGAGGATGGCTGCTTATACTGAGCCAGGATTCTCTGGAGGTTTCTTCCTGTTAAAAGGGAGTTTTCCTCTCCACTGTCGCTACATGCTTGCTTAGTATGAGGACTGCTGTATAGTCACTGACACTAGTCAGTGACTTGATGCAATTTGCTGGGTTCCCTATATAGGAAACATTATTTCTGATTGGCTTAATGAACTGACCTGTCGCATGCAGCGACAGTGGAGAGGAAAACTCCCTTTTAACAGGAAGAAACCTCCAGAGAATCCTGGCTCAGTATAAGCAGCCATCCTCCACGACTCACTGGGGATCGAGAAGACAGAGCACACACACACACACACACACACACACACACACACACACACACACACACACACACACACACAAACACACATGCACACACGCGCACACACGCACGCACTTACACACACACACACGCGCACACATGCACGCAGGCACACACACGCACGCAGGCACACACACGCACATGCACACACACACACGCACGCACGCACGCACACACACACACACACGCACACACACAAACACACACATGCACACACACACACTTATACACACACACATGCACACACACACACACACGCACGCACGCACAAACACACACATGCACACACACACGCACGCACAAACACACACATGCACACACACACACACGCACACACACACGCACTTACACGTGCGCGCGCACACACACACGCGCACATATGCACGCGCACGCACACACACACACGCACATATGCACACCGCGCACACACATGCACACACACAGACGCACACACACACCCGTACACACACACACGCACACACATACACACAAACACACACACACCTGGAACAAACCGATACTGAAAATGACTCAAGAGCCTCCACAACAGAACCAGAACCACAGCAACCAGGAGAATGTGGACAGCTATGGTCCAGGAATGAAAACGCTCTGTGGAAACACATGAAGAACATGATGACCTCTGACCTGTGTCAACAGCAGGCATTGCTTTGTCACTGACCTTTGACCTTCAGGTCCAAATGGGTCCGATTCAGTTCTCCTGAGAAGTCTGTGACTAGGCAGGTGTAGGTTCCACTGTCCGACAGCTGCAGGTTGGTCAGGTTCAGACTCAGGTCTCCAGAGACCAGAGCGTCAGCCTTCATGGAGGTTCTGCCTCTGTAGAGCAGGTTCTGGTCCTTCAGCTGATCTTCTTCAGCCTGACGCTGGTGAACAGTAGAGGGAGTGAGGTCCTGACGGATCCAGACCACTGTGGCGTTCTGCAGGTCAAAGGTGTGGAATTCACATGGCAGCAACAGGAACCTGTCCCCCTGGAACATCTCCACAGCTGAGACCTGCTGGGACACTAAGAGAAGGTCCACCTCAGCAGCTGGTCCATAACTCACCCAGGTCTGCTGACCTTCACCAGGATGGAGCTCACTACCTCACACACAGAGGTTCTACCACAGATGTTCTACCGCAGTGATCTACCACAGCGTTCTACCACAGATGTTCTACCGCAGTGATCTACCACAGCGTTCTACCACAGATGTTCTACCACAGTGTTCTACCACAGCGTTCTACCACAGTGTTCTACCACAGTGTTCTACCACAGCGTTCTACCACAGTGTTCTACCACATATGTCCTACCACAGTGTTCTACCACAGTGTTCTACCACAGTGTTCTACCAAAGATGTTCTACCACAGTGTTCTACCACAGTGTTCTACCACAGATCTTCTACCACAGTGTCCTACCACAGTGTTCTACCACAGTGTTCTACCAAAGATGTTCTACCACAGTGTTCTACCACAGTGTTCTACCACTGTGTTCTACCACAGTGTTCTACCACAGCGTTCTACCACAGTGTTCTACCACAGTGTTCTACCACAGATGTTCTACCACAGTGTTCTACCATAGTGATCTACCACAGCGTTCTACCACAGTGTTCTACCACAGTGTTCTACCACAGCGTTCTACCACAGCGTTCTACCACAGTGTTCTACCACAGTGTTCTACCACAGATGTTCTACCACAGATGTTATACCGCAGTGATCTACCACAGCGTTCTACCACAGTGTTCTACCACAGCGTTCTACCACAGCGTTCTACCACAGTGTTCTACCATAGATGTTCTACCACAGATGTTCTACCGCAGTGATCTACCACAGTGTTCTACCACAGCGTTCTACCACAGCGTTCTACCACAGATGTTCTACCACAGTGTTCTACCACAGATGTTCTACCACAGTGTTCTACCACAGCGTTCTACCACAGTGTTCTACCACAGTGTTCTACCACAGCGTTCTACCACAGTGTTCTACCACAGTGATCTACCACAGTGTTCTACCACTGTGTTCTACCACAGCGTTCTACCACAGATGTTCTACCACAGTGTTCTACCACAGCGTTCTACCACAGCGTTCTACCACAGTGTTCTACCACAGCGTTCTACCACAGTGTTCTACCACAGATGTTCTACCGCAGTGATCTACCACAGCATTCTACCACAGTGTTCTACCACAGTGTTCTACCACAGCGTTCTACCACAGATGTTCTACCGCAGTGATCTACCACAGCGTTCTACCACAGATGTTCTACCACAGTGTTCTACCACAGCGTTCTACCACAGTGTTCTACCACAGCGTTCTACCACAGATGTTCTACCGCAGTGATCTACCACAGCGTTCTACCACAGATGTTCTACCACAGTGTTCTACCACAGTGTTCTACCACAGATCTTCTACCACAGTGTCCTACCACAGTGTTCTACCACAGTGTTCTACCACATATGTCCTACCACAGTGTTCTACCACAGTGTTCTACCACAGTGTTCTACCGCAGTGATCTACCACAGCGTTCTACCACAGATGTTCTACCACAGTGTTCTACCACAGCGTTCTACCACAGTGTTCTACCACAGTGTTCTACCACAGCGTTCTACCACAGTGTTCTACCACATATGTCCTACCACAGTGTTCTACCACAGTGTTCTACCACAGTGTTCTACCAAAGATGTTCTACCACAGTGTTCTACCACAGTGTTCTACCACAGATCTTCTACCACAGTGTCCTACCACAGTGTTCTACCACAGTGTTCTACCAAAGATGTTCTACCACAGTGTTCTACCACAGTGTTCTACCACAGATCTTCTACCACAGCGTTCTACCACAGTGTTCTACCACAGTGTTCTACCACAGCGTTCTACCACAGTGTTCTACCACAGATGTTCTACCACAGTGTTCTACCGCAGTGATCTACCACAGCGTTCTACCACAGTGTTCTACCACAGTGTTCTACCACAGCGTTCTACCACAGCGTTCTACCACAGTGTTCTACCACAGTGTTCTACCACAGATGTTCTACCACAGATGTTCTACCGCAGTGATCTACCACAGCGTTCTACCACAGCGTTCTACCACAGTGTTCTACCACAGCGTTCTACCACAGCGTTCTACCACAGTGTTCTACCATAGATGTTCTACCACAGATGTTCTACCGCAGTGATCTACCACAGTGTTCTACCACAGCGTTCTACCACAGCGTTCTACCACAGATGTTCTACCACAGTGTTCTACCACAGATGTTCTACCACAGTGTTCTACCACAGTGTTCTACCACAGCGTTCTACCACAGATGTTCTACCACAGTGTTCTACCACAGCGTTCTACCACAGCGTTCTACCACAGTGTTCTACCACAGCGTTCTACCACAGTGTTCTACCACAGATGTTCTACCGCAGTGATCTACCACAGCATTCTACCACAGTGTTCTACCACAGTGTTCTACCACAGCGTTCTACCACAGATGTTCTACCGCAGTGATCTACCACAGCGTTCTACCACAGATGTTCTACCACAGTGTTCTACCACAGCGTTCTACCACAGTGTTCTACCACAGCGTTCTACCACAGATGTTCTACCGCAGTGATCTACCACAGCGTTCTACCACAGATGTTCTACCACAGTGTTCTACCACAGTGTTCTACCACAGATCTTCTACCACAGTGTCCTACCACAGTGTTCTACCACAGTGTTCTACCACATATGTCCTACCACAGTGTTCTACCACAGTGTTCTACCACAGTGTTCTACCGCAGTGATCTACCACAGCGTTCTACCACAGATGTTCTACCACAGTGTTCTACCACAGTGTTCTACCAAAGATGTTCTACCACAGCGTTCTACCACAGATGTTCTACCACAGTGTTCTACCACAGCGTTCTACCACAGTGTTCTACCACAGATGTTCTACCACAGCGTTCTACCACAGTGTTCTACCACAGATGTTCTACCACAGTGTTCTACCACAGTGTTCTACCAAAGATGTTCTACCACAGCGTTCTACCACAGATGTTCTACCACAGTGTTCTACCACAGCGTTCTACCACAGTGTTCTACCACAGATCTTCTACCACAGTGTCCTACCACAGTGTTCTACCACAGTGTTCTACCACATATGTCCTACCACAGTGTTCTACCACAGTGTTCTACCACAGATCTTCTACCACAGCGTTCTACCACAGTGTTTTACCACAGTGTTCTACCACAGTGTTCTACCAAAGATGTTCTACCACAGTGTTCTACCACAGTGTTCTACCACAGATCTTCTACCACAGTGTCCTACCACAGTGTTCTACCACAGTGTTCTACCAAAGATGTTCTACCACAGTGTTCTACCAGAGTGTTCTACCACAGTGTTCTACCACAGTGTTTTACCACAGTGTTCTACCACAGTGTTCTACCACAGATGTTCTACCACAGTGTTCTACCACATATGTCCTACCACAGTGTTCTACCACAGTGTTCTACCAAAGATGTTCTACCACAGTGTTCTACCACAGTGTTCTACCACAGATCTTCTACCACAGTGTCCTACCACAGTGTTCTACCACAGTGTTCTACCAAAGATGTTCTACCACAGTGTTCTACCACAGTGTTCTACCACAGATCTTCTACCACAGCGTTCTACCACAGTGTTCTACCACAGTGTTCTACCACAGCATTCTACCACAGTGTTCTACCACAGATGTTCTACCACAGTGTTCTACCGCAGTGATCTACCACAGCATTCTACCACAGTGTTCTACCACAGTGTTCTACCACAGCGTTCTACCACAGTGTTCTACCACAGTGTTCTACCACAGCGTTCTACCACAGTGTTCTACCACAGATGTTCTACCACAGATGTTCTACCGCAGTGATCTACCACAGCATTCTACCACAGTGTTCTACCACAGTGTTCTACCACAGCGTTCTACCACAGTGTTCTACCACAGTGTTCTACCATAGATGTTCTACCACAGATGTTCTACCGCAGTGATCTACCACAGTGTTCTACCACAGCGTTCTACCACAGTGTTCTACCACAGATGTTCTACCACAGTGTTCTACCACAGATGTTCTACCACAGATGTTCTACCACAGTGTTCTACCACAGTGTTCTACCACAGCGTTCTACCACAGATGTTCTACCACAGTGTTCTACCACAGTGTTATACCACAGATGTTCTACCACAGTGTTCTACCACATATGTCCTACCACAGTGTGCTACCACAGTGTTCTACCAAAGATGTTCTACCACAGTGTTCTACCACAGTGTTCTACCACAGATCTTCTACCACAGTGTTCTACCACAGTGTTCTACCACAGATCTTCTACCACAGTGTCCTACCACAGCGTTCTACCACAGATGTTCTACCGCAGTGATCTACCACAGCGTTCTACCACAGATGTTCTACCACAGTGTTCTACCACAGCGTTCTACCACAGTGTTCTACCACAGATGTTCTACCACAGTGTTCTACCACATATGTCCTACCACAGTGTTCTACCACAGTGTTCTACCAAAGATGTTCTACCACAGTGTTCTACCACAGTGTTCTACCACAGATCTTCTACCACAGTGTCCTACCACAGTGTTCTACCACAGTGTTCTACCAAAGATGTTCTACCACAGTGTTCTACCAAAGTGTTCTACCACAGATCTTCTACCACAGCGTTCTACCACAGTGTTCTACCACAGTGTTCTACCACAGTGTTTTACCACAGTGTTCTACCACAGTGTTCTACCACAGATGTTCTACCACAGTGTTCTACCACATATGTCCTACCACAGTGTTCTACCACAGTGTTCTACCAAAGATGTTCTACCACAGTGTTCTACCACAGTGTTCTACCACAGATCTTCTACCACAGTGTCCTACCACAGTGTTCTACCACAGTGTTCTACCAAAGATGTTCTACCAAAGATGTTCTACCACAGTGTTCTACCAAAGTGTTCTACCACAGATCTTCTACCACAGTGTTCTACCACAGTGTTCTACCACAGTGTTTTACCACAGTGTTCTACCACAGTGTTCTACC